CCAACCATCCCCGTTCGAAATGCCGGCATCCCAACAACCGGCATTCCAAAGGCCAACAAAACAGTAGCCAACCGTCCCACCCACTTAGAGCCACCATAAAACCGACTGCATTAGCCCCCGACGCCTGGTCCTTCCACCTGGGTGGGTGTAATGGAAGAACCAAACGCCGGATGGGAAGGAGCTAATGCAGGGCCGACACACCTAACATCGGCCCACCGAGCCAAATTAAGGAAACTTGGCAAACCGAAATCCAACCTCGGAGAGTCAGCCCCACAAGGACATACCAATCGTCCTCGCTTGAAATGCCGGCATCCCAAAAACCAGCATTTCAGGGGCCAACAGACCGATGCCCAACACCGATTCCCACCGCCAACTCGAACTGCGTTAGCTCTGGCGTCCATTCTTGATGCTAGTGGGTGGGACACTAGCCGAACGAGGTGCCTAGGGAGAGAGTGAGCTAACGCAGGGCCTAGCAAGGGCAAAAACCAAGCCTTTTAAAACCAACCGAAAAAACCTTCACGGACCATACCCCCCCTATATATGCTTAAAAAACATAAACCCAAGTTACAGCAGTAGATACGATTTTGCTATAGAGTCACACTCACCAAACAGGCCCCAAATTCAAACACAAAGCCAATTCCTCATCACAACCCGTAACCAAACATCATTCTTAGGTCATAATGATATGCAAAACACACTAACAAACATTTGGGGGGACGAAAAAGCAATAGCCAAAACGGTAAAAGCAGTGGTTCTCCGAAAGCCAACACTTCAAAAACCACATGTGAAAAACAAAAGTCATGCCACCACAGTTTGATTTCCGGATGCAAAAGCTATATGAACTTGTTTAATGGCATTTTGCTTTGAAAAAGACGAAAAACAAACGGAAAAGAGCGGGAATGTAAGGATGCCACAAAGAGGGTACAAAACAAAGGAAACCATTGCAAACAAAGGCGTACACGGCAAGTTTTCTCTGCTACAGCAAGGATCAAACCTAACCATGAAAACCAAATGCATCTCACACACAATTACGCATTGCAAACTTCATACACACTGCACAACCCACCAACAGACCAAAGGCCAAGTTTTTAACTCGGCAGTCAGCCCACCAGCGAATGCCAAGTGCCCATGACAGTCACATCGAATAGTGCCATGCAAGACCAAACAAAACCGTAGAAACCGTCCCACCCACTTAGAGCCAACCTAAAACCGACTGCATAAGCCCCCGGCGACTGGTCCTTCCACCTGGGTGGGTGTAATGGAAGAACCAAATGCCGGATGGGAAGGAGCTAAAGCAGGGCCGACACACCTAACATTGGCACACCAAGCCAAATTTAAGAAATTTGGCTAACCGAAAGAGCAACTATCCCAGAGTCTCAGCAATGACGAAATATCCAACCATCCCCGTTCGAAATGCCGGCATCCCAACAACCGGCATTTCAAAGGCCAACAAAACAGTAGCCAACCGTCCCACCCACTTAGAGCCACCATAAAACCGACTGCATTAGCCCCCGAAGCCTGGTCCTTCCACCTGGGTGGGTGTAATGGAAGAACCAAACGCCGGAAGGGAAGGAGCTAATGCAGGGCCGGCATGCCTAACATCGGCACACCGAGCCAAATTAAGGAAACTTGGCAAACCGAAATCCAACCTCGGAGAGTCAACCCCACAAGGACATACCAATCGTCCTCGCTTGAAATGCCGGCATCCCAACAACCAGCATTTCAAGGGCCAACAGACCGATGCCCAACACCGATTCCCACCGCCAACTCGAACTGCGTTAGCTCTGGCATCCATTCTTGATGCTAGTGGGTGGGACACTAGCCGAACAAGGCGCGTAGGGAGAGAGTGAGCTAACGCAGGGCCTAGCAAGGGAAAAAATCAAGCCTTCATCATAACCCTAGCGTGGAGTTTTCCCCTAGCTATTATTCTCTTTCCCTCTTATTCGTTGTTCTCTTCGTTCTGTCCGTACACCTTGATTCAATTCGGCGTCATCTGGTACCAGAGCTCAGTTCGACGAAACGGAAGATCATCCTTCATCATCAATGGTGCGTGCACGAGTTAGCGACCTTGGGCAACCTATGGGTGACGAACACTCACCCCCCCCTCGCCCCCGACAAGAGAAGCGCCATGACGACTTGGAGGTGATTAAGTGCTAACTTTGTGGCGAACCGGGACATAGGGTGACGGAATGCAAAAAGCCCGTCCTACAGAAGAACACGAGTCTGTTCGTGGAGGAAGACATCGTTTATAATGATGACGAAGTTGAAGAGTGAAGAGATACGTCTTGAAGAGTCAATAGATCCAGTCTACGATGATTATGCTGAAGAAGTCGTTCTTTATGTGGACGGTCGTGAGAATCTCGTTGTCCGCAAGAGCCTTCTCACCACCAAGGATGACTCCAAGGACGACTAGTTGAGCACTAACATCTTCCACACTGCCTGGTCTCAACAATCGAGGGCCCGCGTACCGTGCATTGTACAGCATTTCGAAAACAAATCTTGCACTAAGGCAACGCCAATTGCAGAGTTGCACGCGTCAGGATGACTTGCATCGTTCCCATTCCCTTCGGACCGCTAGTGCCGTACAAGAGTACCAGAAAATTACCAAGCGTACGCCTTTGCATTTCCCTTAGGGACTGCTTTGAAGTCACAGCCTCCGCGATTAACTCGAAAAAAGCTTAGGGGGGTTTGGGATCCGGCTGGGGGGGGG